TGTTAAAATGTCGTGCGAGTTGTATTCTAACAGTTGGGAATGTCGGAAGTGCCACTCGTAGTGCCAAATTGTCAGGTCGTGCTGCCATATATAAAAATTATGTTTATATTTTTTTCTCTGTTGTTTGTTGGCCAATCATACTGAAACTTTGCCACATGCTTCTACATATGCACCTCTAAAAGTACACCAAAAATAAAATAAATCGGTTGAAAAATAAAAAAACAAAAAAAACAGTAACTTGGCGGCCTGCGCTTAAGGTGTCAAGTCCTTTTCTGGGGTTACTTCCCTTCTTCTTTTAGTGCCACTAGGACCAGCTTGAGAGTCACTGGACTTTTGTTGCACAACATATCTGTCCATAGAGGTCTGTACCTCTCGTTCCTTTATGAGTTTCCTAAAGTGGTTGACAACATTGTGAGTGTACAGGTTGCCAACACGGCGTGCAACAGCTGTCTGAGGGTGATTTTCATCCATAAAGGTTTGCACTTCAAGCCACTTTGCACAGATTTCCTTAATCTTTGAAGTAGGCAACTTCTTCAATTTCTCTCTCCCCTCCTCCGAAGCAGTTTCCTCAGGTGTGGCCTCTTGCTGTTGAAGTTGATCTAGCAGCTCATCAGTGGTTAGTTCTTCATTGTCCTCCTCCACTAACTCTTCCACATCCTCCCCACTAACCTCCAACCCCAAGGACTTCCCCAATGCCACAATTGATTCCTCAAGTGGCATACGCCTCTCAGGGTTAACCTCAAATCCTTCAAATCCCTTTTGTCTACACATTCTGGCCACAGTTTTTTCCCAAAGCAGAGTTCAAGGTCCTCTTAGTCACTCCCTCCCAAGCCTTACCTATAAGGTTTACACAAATGAGGATATTAAAGTGATCTCTCCAAAACTCTCTTAGAGTCAATTGAGTTTCTGAGGTCACTACAAAGCACCTTTCAAACAGAGCTTTTGTGTACAGTTTTTTGAAGTTGGAAATGACCTGCTGGTCCATGGGCTGCAGGAGAGGAGTGGTATTAGAAGGCAAAAACTTGACCTTAATGAAGCTCATTTCCGCAGAAAGCCACTCTGCCACGTCTGAAGGATGACCAGGAGCATTGTCTAACACCAGGAGGCACTTAAGGTCTAATTTATTTTCAGTTAGGCAATCTTTCACATTGGGGGGCAAATGCTTGGTGTAACCAGTCATAGAAAAAGTCCCTAGTGACCCATGCCTTACTGTTTGCCCTTCACAGCACACACAAATTAGCCTTGAGGATATTCTTTTGCCTGAACGGTCTGGGAGTTTCAGAGTGATACACTAATAAAGGCTTCACTTTGCAATCACCACTAGCATTGGCACACATTAACAGAGTAAGCCTGTCTTTCATAGGCTTATGTCCTGGGAGTGCCTTTTCTTCCTGAGTAATAAGAACATAAGAACATAAGAACGAAGGAACACTGCAGAAGGCCTACTGGCCCATGCGAGGCAGGTCCAAGTCTCCTACCGGCTTAAGCCAATGCACCCAACCTAGTCAGGTCAGGTCACATTGACTTAAGGGAGGAACACGGAAACCCCGCCCGGGTAGCACAAGCTATCAGTCTAACTCACACCCACCCACATCCACTCATGTATTTATCCAACCTATTTTTAAAGCTACACAACGTTCTGGCCTCTATAACGGTACTTGGGAGTTTGTTCCACTCATCCACAACTCTATTACCAAACCAGTACTTTCCTATATCCTTCCTGAATCTGAATTTTTCCAACTTAAAACCATTGCTGCGAGTCCTGTCTAGGCTAAAATATTTTCAGCACACTATTTACATCCCCTTTATTTATTCCTGTTTTCCCATTTATACACCTCAATCATATCCCCCTAATTCTACGTCTTTCTAGAGAGTGCAGATTCAGGGCCCTTAGTCTACCCTCATAGGGAAGGTTTCGATACATGGGATCAACTTTGTCATCCTCCTTTGTACATTTTCCAGAGAATTTATATCCATTCTGTAATAAGGTGACCAAAACTGTGCAGCATAATCTAAATGAGGCCTAACCAAGGATGTATAGAGTTGAAGAACAACCTGAGGACTCCTTTTATTTATGCTTCTTGATAGAAGCCAAGGATTCTATTAGTTTTTATTGCGAACACTTATGAAACTGTTGTCTTGGTTTCAGATTACTGCAACCAGAACTCCTAAATCTTTTTCGCAATCCGTAATATTAAGATCAAACATTATTTAGTTTATATGTGGCATGGTTATTGTCCTGTCCAACATTTAGAACTTTGCATTTGTCTAATTAAACTGCATCTGCCATTCTCCGACCACTGCATCAGTCTATTCAATCTTCCTGGAGTGCTCGAATGTCCTCGTCAGAATGAATTCGACGGCCTATTTTGGTGTCATCGCAAACTTGCCGATGTCGCTCTTTATGCCCTCATCTATGTCGTTTATGTAGATTGTGAACAGCAGGGGGCCCAACACTGACCCCTGTGGAACACCGCTCGTGACACTTCCCCACTCTGATTTCTCCCCATTTATGCAAACTCACTGCTGCCTATTTGTCAACCATGCCTCTATCCAGGAAAAAATTTCTCCTCCTATTCCATGTGCTTTAATTTTCCTCAATAGTCTCTGTAGGTCCTGCTTGGCATTTTCTTCCAAAACAGGCCTGTTTCGTCACAAACACTTGTTCAGGTTTCAGCCCTTCACTGTCTATGTACTCCTTGAATTCATGCACATGTTTTTCAGCTGCTTTTTGGTCCGAACTGGCAGCCTCACCATGCCTTATCACACTATGTATGCCACTATGCTTTTTAAATCTCTCAAACCAACCTTTGTTGGCCTTAAATTCACTCACATCATCACTAGTTGCAGGCATTTTTCCTAATTAAATCCTGATGCAACTTCCTAGCTTTTTCACTTATGATCGCTTGAGAGATGCTATCTTGTGCTATCTGTTTTTCGTTTATCCACACCAATAAGAGTCTCTCAACATCTTCTATCACTTGCGATCTGTGTTTCAAAAACACAGTTGCACCTTTGGCAAGAACAGCTTCCTTGATTGCCATTTTCTTGGACACAATAGTAGCGATGGTTGATTGAGGTTTACTATACAACCTGGCCAGCTCGGAGACGCATACTCCACTTTCATACTTAGCAATGATCTCTTTCTTCATCTCCATAGTAATTCTCACCCTTATTCCTGTAGGGTTGGCACTAGAAGCTTTCTTGGGGCCCATGGTCACTTATTTTGCAGATGAAATCAACAAAAACGCTGTAATAATACGAAATGTTCTGATTGTATACTTGGATGTTACCGTGGAGGCTGGCTTGTAAACAATGCCACCGGCGGAACATGTGAGGCTGGCTCAGGCTGCACATAGACGCGTCTCGGATGAATAGCGTTGAGCGAGTTTTTTAGCGCTATGCGAGGCAAAATTTTAGCGATAAAATGTATCGCTATGCGGATTTAACGTTATGTGATGCCAACGTTATGCGAGGGTCCACTGTACTTCGTTCCTCTGGAAGAAACCTCATTGTATACTTCTGTGGTGTGTTCCATAATTTTTGTTAGGAAAAACAGCTTTGTGTGCTATTCTGTTTATCTAGTATCTTGATGCCAGATGTTTTTTGAAAGTTTTTTTTTTTTTTTTTTTTTTTTTTTTTTTTTTTTTTTTTTTTTTTTTTTTTTTTTTTTTTTTGTGCTTGCTGTTTCTTTCAGTCAAGAAAATGATTAGTTCCAAAAGGGTTATGGGATGAGCTACTAACTGATTTTATTGCCACAGTACAGTGCCTGGGAAGTACAGTGCCTGCACTCTGAAGAAGGGTTGGGGATATTGCAATTTGGAGGGGCATCTAAGCTGTAATGTCAGTGCACCTTTGGCAAAATTGTGGAGGATTGGTGGTTAAGGTGCGTCTTCCTTTTCAAGTTACCCTACGTTGGTGGGAGAGGGCTGGTGTGTTAAAAAAATTTCTGTGTTACAATAATAACCAATTTTGTTACAAAGTAAACTTAACACAAGATTTTATTCACATCGGATAAATAGTTTGAGGTTTTTCTTTTTTAATGTTTTCAAAATTCTGCATACTCATAATTTTTATACATTTTAGTGTGAAATGCAACTTGTGCAATCCAATCACCAAATTTTATCTGAAATTATATGTCCTTCATTGTAGGTGGAGTAGATTTCTATTAGTTTGGGATAATTTGCTCAAAAAGTGTGATTTATAAGATGTGATTGTTTGGGGAGACAATTGGTTTTTCCTCAGTTGTTTATATATCAAATATACTTATGCATAGCATGAAAATAAACAGTGATGTGTTTTCTTTAACAAAAGCCTGTTTCATAGATACTTCTCGATTGCCTATTTCAGTTTGCAGGGGTTTTCTCCAACATATGGGCGTGCCTTATGACTTACAACCAACTGATGTGATCGAGCTTGTCTTGTCTATTTTGGAACCCCTGTGTAGCGTCTACTTCCACTGTGTTACTGCTCAGATCATTTAGTTTTATCATACATGCAAATGTTTACTGTTGTCGTCCTCTTTTTTTCTGGCTGCTGCAAGCTCTTTCTTTCAACTGTGACATCCAGTTAATCTCTATACAGTTGTAGAGCACACTCTTATAATGACATGTATATCATTCTTTAGTCTTGTTCATAGTTTCCATATTTTTTCGTTGAAATGCATTCAGATATTTGTTTGACACCTTGTTGATGGCAACCTGCTTAGGTACACATATCATCATTGGAGCTGATCTTTTCTTCATCTATGTTCATCTGTGTGATGTTTAATCATCTTATACCAGCATCATAGTTCATAATTAATGTTTGAAATTTAATTCTATATATGTAGTTTGACAGCAGACCATTCTACACAAGAATTTAGCAAGTACTTTAATATTTTGTTAGGTTTTGAACATTAATGATGAAAATTAATAGCTTACTAAAACATGATACTTTACATTTGCTGCTTATGTTCTGAGCAATTAGTTAATTTATAAAATTCAAATATTTTGTTACAGACAACAAATAAGAGTGCAGTGGAAACGACCAATCTTACCAGGAGTTTTGGCTGGGATAGTAGCGAGGCATGGCAGCAGCATGACATTCAAGAGTTGTGCAGAGTGATGTTTGATGCCCTTGAACAGTGCTTCAAAAATACCCATCAGTCCGACCTCATCAATAATCTTTATGAAGGTTGGTATTTTAATTGCCAGCTTTTACTACAAAAATAATCTTTTCTACAACCATCTCATCCCAGTAGGCCCATGTTAACCTTTCCCACACTCTTCAGATGCTTCAAGTAATAACTAACAGAATGTAATGGAATGTGTTCTTTTTTTTTCAACACACTGGCCATATTCCACCCAGGCAGGGTGACCTATATGAAAAATGAGAAGTTTTTCTTTTTAAATTTAGTACATAATTTTTTTACAGAAAAGGGTTACCAGCCTTTCGCTTCGGCGTATCAGTTGCCTCTAATGACATGCATGGCTTACAGAGGACAGTTTTTTTTTTTTACACACTTTCACCCAACATCTTAGTTCAGATATTACCTTGGTAGCTCCTCTCTCAAACAGCACTACCAGGTATCTCCACTAATTCCTGTCGAATGCATTCTCACAAGCTTTCTGGATGCCAAACCCCAACACTTACACCTCCTTATCCCTTCCTTTAAAGCTTTCCTGGTGCCTCCACCCCTCCTCTCTTCCAACTTAGATTTATATACTCTTCTGGTCATTGTATTCTTTGCCCCCCTCTTTCAATACCCTGATTACAAAGGCATCCACTCCTCATCCCTATGACTTGTACCCTAGTTTCTACACTCCATAGTTTTTATCAGTAGAATATTAAACAGCTGTTTGGCAAAATTGGAGTTTTTAAAAGCTAAAGCTATGTTCCCATGTTCTTTACTTCAAATAGAGGTAATTTCCTTAGGGGAACAATATTCAGGAGTTTATCCCAGGCATTCTAAGAGATGTAGCAGAAGGAAAGGGGTTAATAGTGTTGTAAGCTATTCAGAAGGAAAGGGGTTAATGGTGTTGTAAGCTATTCTGGTTCACCAACTAAAGCTGAGGTGTTTTGTCTGGATAACCACTTTAATTTCTTAGTACATACATCACACAAAAGTACAATATTTTTTTTTGTCTTGACAAGTTGGCTGTCTCCCACCGAGTCAGGGTGACCCAAAACGAAAGAAAATCTCCAAAAAGAAAATACAGTACAGTGGAACCTCGCCTAACAAACGCATCGCATAACATTAAATCCGCCTAGCGATACATTTTAACACAATAATTTTGCCTCGGCTAGCGCTAAAAAACTCGCTCAACGCGGTTTGTTCGAGATGCGGCCTGAGCCCGCCTCACTTGTTCCGTGGGTGCCAGTGTTTACAAGCCAGCCACCGCGGTCACTTCCAAGCATACAATTGGAACATTTCATATTATCACAGCCTTTTTAGTGATTGCACCTGCAAAATAAGTCACCATGGGCCCCAAGAAAGCTTCTAGTGCCATCCCTACAGCAAAAAGAGTGAGAATTACTATGGATATGAAGAAAGAGATCATTGCTAAGTATGAAAGTGGAGTGCATGTCTCCGAGCTGGCCAGGTTGTACACAAAACCCCAATCAACCATCGCTACTATTGTGGCCAAGAAAACGGCAATCAAGGAAGCTGTTCTTGCCAAAAGTGCAACTTCGTTTTCGAAACAGAGATCGCAAGTGATAGAAGATGTTGAAAGACTGTTACTGGTGTGGATAAACGAAAAACAGATAGTAGGAGATAGCATCTCTCAAGCGATCATATGTGAAAAGGCTAGGAAGTTGCATGACGATTTAATTAGAAAAATGCCTGCAACTAGTGATGTGAGTGAATTTAAGGCCAGCAAAGGTTGGTTTGAGAGATTTAAGAATCGTAGTGGCATACATAGTGTGATAAGGCATGGTGAAACTGCCAGTTCGGACCACAAAGCGGCTGAAATTTTTTTTTTTTTTTTTTTTTTTTTTTTCAACAAGTCGGCCGTCTCCCACCGAGGCAGGGTGACCCAAAAAAGAAAGAAAATCCCTAAAAAGAAAATACTTTCATCATCATTCAACACTTTCACCACACTCGCACATTATCACTGTTTTTGCAGAGGTGCTCAGAATACAACAGTCTAGAAGCATACACATATAAAGATACACAACATATCCCTCCAAACTGCCAATATCCCAAACCCCTCCTTTAAAGTGCAGGCATTGTACTTCCCATTTCCAGGACTCAAGTCCGACTATATGAAAATAACCGGTTTCCCTGAATCCCTTCACTAAATATTACCCTGCTCACACTCCAACAGATCGTCAGGTCCCAAGTACCATTCGTCTCCATTCACTCCTATCTAACACGCTCACGCACGCTTGCTGAAAGTCCAAGCCCCTTACCCACAAAACCTCCTTTACCCCCTCTCTCCAACCCTTTCGAGGACGACCCCTACCCCGCCTTCCTTCCCCTATAGATTTATATGCTTTCCATGTCATCTACTTTGATCCATTCTCTCTAAATGACCAAACCAACCTCAACAACCCCTCTTCTGCCCTCTGACTAATACTTTTTATTAACTCACACCTTCTCCTAATTTCCACACTCCGAATTTTCTGCATAATATTTACACACATTGCCCTTAAACAGGACATCTCCACGCCTCCAACCGTCTCCTCGCTGCTGCATTTACCACCCAAGCTTCACACCCTATAAGAGTGTTGGTACTACTATACTTTCATACATTCCCTTCTTTGCCTCCATAGATAACGTTTTTTGACTCCACATATACCTCAACGCACCACTCCCTTTTTTCCCTCATCAATTCTATGATTAACCTCATCCTTCATAAATCCATCCGCCGCACGTCAACCCCCAAAGGGTATCTGAAAACATTCACTTCTTCCATACTCCTCCTCCCCAATTTGATATCCAATTTTTCTTTATCTAAATCATTTGACACCCTCATCACCTTCTCTTTTCTTATGTTCACTTTCAACTTTCTACCTTTACACACATTCCCAAACTCTTTCCCAAACCTTTGCAATTTTTTTAGAATTCCCATAAGCCCAGTATCATCATGAAAAAAGAAAACTGTGTCAATTCCCATTTTGAATTTGATTCCCCATAATTTAATCCCACCCCTTTTTCCAAACACCTAGCATTTATTTCCCTTTAACAACCCCATCTAAAAATATATTAAACAACCATGGTGACATTCACATCCCTGTCTAAGACCTACTTTTACCGGGAAATAGTCTCCCTCTCTTCTAACACCCCTAACCTGAGCCTCACTATCTTCTAAAAACTCTTTACAGCATTTAATAACTTACCACCTATTCCATATACTTGCAACAATCTGCCACATTGCTCCTCTATCCACTCTATCATATGCCTTTTTTTAAATCCATAAATGCAATAAAACTTCCCTACCTTTATCTAAATACTGTTCACAATATGCTTCAATGTAAACAAATTGATCTACACATCCCCTACCCACTCTGAAAACCTCCTTGCTCATCCGCAATCCTTTCATTCTGTCTTACCTCTAATTCTTTTTAATTATAACCCTACCGTACACTTTTCCTGGTATACTCAGTAAGCTTATTCCTCTATAATTTTTTACAGTCTCTTTTGTCCCCTTTCCCTTTATATAAAGGGACTATACATGCTCTCCGCCAATCCCTAGGGACCTTCCCCTCTTTCATACATTTATTGAACAAAAAGTACCAACCCCTCCAACAAATATATCCCCCCCTGCTTTTAATATTTCTGTCATGATCCCATCAGTACCAGCTGCTTTACCCCCTTTCATTTTACGTAATGCCTCACGTACCTCCCCCACACTTACATTCTGCTCTTCTTCACTCCTAAAAGATGGTATACCTCCCTGACCAGGCATTTAAATTACTGCCTCTGTTTCTTCCTTAACATTTAAAAGTTCCTCAAAATATTCTTGCCATTTTACCTAATAAACCCCCATCTCCCCATTTACTAACTCCCCTACTCTGTTTTTAACTGACAAATCCATATTTTCCCTTGCTTTTAACTTGTTTAACTCACTCCAAAATTTTTTCTTATTTTCATTAAAATTTCTTGACAGTTTCCTCTCCCCCTCTTTTCATCTGCTCTCCTTTTGCACTCTCTCACCACTCTCTTTACCTTTCTTTTACTTCCATATATTCTGCTCTTCTTATAACACTTCTGCTTTGTAAAAACCTCTCATAAGCTACCTTTTTCTCTTTTATCACACCCTTTACTTCATCATTCCACCAATCACTCCTCTTTCCTCCTGCACCCACCCTCCTATAACCACAAACTTCTGCCCCACATTCTAATACTGCATTTTTAAAACTATTCCAACCCTCTTCAACCCCCCCATTACTCATCTTTGCACTATCCCACCTTTCTGCCAATAGTCGCTTATATCTCGCCCGAACTTCCTCCTCCCTTAGTTTATACACTTTCACTGAAAAATATGTGCACGAATTCAAGGAGTACATAGACAGTGAAGGACAGAAACCTGAACAAGTGTTTAATTGTGATGAAACAGGCCTGTTTTGGAAGAAAATGCCAAACAGGACCTACATTACTCAGGAGGAAAAGGCACTCCCAGGACATAAGCCTATGAAAGACAGGCTTACTCTGTTGATGTGTGCCAATGCTAGTGGTGATTGCAAAGTGAAGCCTTTATTGGTGTATCACTTTGAAACTCCCAGAGTGTTCAGGAAAAACAATGTCCTCAAGGCTAATTTGTGTGTGTTTGTGGAGGGCAAACAGTAAGGCATGAGTCACTTGGGACTTTTTCTATGACTGGTTACACCATGCATTTGCCCCCACTATGAAAAATTATCTAATTGAAAAGAAATTAGACCTTAAGTGCCTCCTGGTATTAGACAATGCTCCTGGTCACCCTTCAGACGTGGCCAGAGCGACTTTCTGCGGAAATGAGCTTCATTAAGGTCAAGTTTTTGCCTCCTAATACCACTCCTCTCCTGCAGCCCATGGACCAGCAGGTCGTTTCCAAACTTAAAAGAAACTGTACACAAAAGCTTTTTTGAAAGGTGCTTTTATAGTGACCTCAGAAACTCAATTGACTCTAAGAAGGTTTTGGAGAGATTACTTTAGCATCCTCAGTTGTGTAAACATTATAGGTAAGGCTTGGGAGGAAGTGACTAAAAAG